CGCAGAAAATCGTTGTGTTGCGTCATGCAGCCCGCAACTACCGAATCGCCTACTCTTAGTCCCTTCTCGCCGAACGACCCTTCGCCGACAAACGAGCCAATCCCTCCAACACCGGGGAAGCTCCTATTAACCTTCATCGCACAGCCCGACTTCTAATGGAGAACATCTAAGCGGAATGCACATGTATCGCCGCCGCAGACTTTATAACAGCTTGCAACGGAAAACCTCACTGCAACTAAACAAGACTGGAGGAACGAGGCACTGACTGACCCAAGAGACGCAAAAAATCCCTTGGCTGAAGCAGTCCACACGAAGCCGAAACATTAGCTGGGAGCGTCGCGTCGTCATAACACTACATTGCGTCAACGCTCTACTCTTCGTATCGAGAGGCGTTCCCTGTGTATGTGTTAGGGCAAGAGAAAAGCCGGTGAAGATAGACGCTTGAATTTGGGGGGAAATGATTGCTCCCCTCTGTCAGTTCGCCAGAGTACTCTTTTGTTTGGGCTTCATCGGACTGTGTTGCATCATATCATGAGTAACTTTATTCAGACGAAAGAAAGATGAAAAAAATGCGGGGGATTGTTGGAAAGGAGGTGGGTGTGAAACAGAGATTAATCATTGGAGTTACCAGACTGATTGCTTCTTAACATCGCATTCAGAAGCAGCATGAGGGATAGGGTCGACGGGCTTCATAATTTTTCACTTCGTTAAATGACGAGGACGAAACTTGGCAACCTCTCCAAACATCCAACCCCCGCGCCAGTGGTTTAACATTACGACTCCATTTCAAAGCATCTTTCAGTAAAAATGATCAAGATAGCTTCCTACACCGAAAGATACAAAGCCTCAAATAAACCCTTAAAATGCGGAAATTAAGAGAAACCAGTAAAGGGCTCGAGTGTCGCCTTCGTCGCAGTGGTTCAAAACGGCAATGCTTTTCTATTCCCTAAGAAGTGTGTGACATACAAAACGGCGAATTAATATTCGGATTATTATTTCAGTTTTTAGTTATGATTGCTAAAAATTAACTTTGTGACTTTATGTGCACATATTTCCAAACATTACTGCGTTCTGTTCTTATAAGTTTAGAAAGAAAAAAAAATAGTTATTTAGCTATCAGATGATACGATTTTCATAAGCTATTAAAATCTTTCATGCTAGTATACAAGTATACTGCCATATAAATTATAAAATATAATTTATTTTTTATGAATTTCCTTTTTTTCGTATAAAAATATTAGTTATTTTTACAAAATGGCACAAAAACTATTTATTTCTCGCATCTCATGAATAAATTATAAATGATGGAAAAATAATTGGTAAAAAGCATTCAACTTATCCCAGTTTTGAAAATTTTTCATTTAGTTAAAAAGTCTCAAATGTAACACTTTATCGGACCTCTTTAATTTTATAGCTCACTCTCTCTTTCTCATTATACATAATATATATACATAAACCCTAAAAAGAATTTTTAGAGCCATTTCATTCTTTTCTCCCTTCAGAATACAAAAATTATCTTTAACATCACTCGAGAGATATTGCATTTAGAGATAAAAATGTTAATAACAACATCAATAAAAATATTTGCTAGGAATATATAGATAAAAAATAAAATAATGGAATCTATGAGTAATTACAAGTTCTATTCTCAAAAAATACATTTAAACAACAAGCATTTTGAGGATTTTATTCTCTATTCTTTAATGAGCTGTTAGAAAGAATTGTCCTTAAGAGAAATCCTGCGTTTGAATACAGGGGGAAACATTATTCATTCTTTTTCTTCTTTGAAAGCTCTTCAGTGAAATGAACGTGTATGCGAGTATTTTCAATTCAATTCCCCTGAATTTTGAATATACGAGTTGAATAACTTCATTGTTTAGAAAAATCTAAGAATATCATTTTCAATTTATAAGGTATAACTAGTTTAATTTCAAAAGCAATTTTTGCAAAACTTCTCATAAAAAAATCGTTAAATTTCAACTAAAATCTCCAAACCGCGCCTTTGTGTCAATGAAATTTCCTTCTTCATGATGAATGAGATCTTTTCCAAAAACGATTTATACTCTAGGAATAAAATTACTAAGAGAAAGAGATTCCATTCTGAATTCCTTTGGGGCTTTATTCAATAGAATCGCAATAGGAGGGAGGATTCAATAGCATAATAATTTTGAGAAAATTCAAAAAAAAAAAAAAATTCCTCGACATTTATCTTTAGAAATTGTAAGAA